GTATGATGAACACTTACCAGACTTGGTTTTCACTACCAGGTGTTGTACAACCATACAACAACATATGATGCGCGGTCTGCATCTTGGCATGAGGCTCGAACTTAGCTGGAATAATTAATAATTGTGATAACTTATTTTCCATATTATGAACCATACGTAGTTTCGTATGAAGACACATAAGACCTACATGCAATATAAACATGTGTTATGACTAACACAACAGTATTCGTCAATTCGACACCCGTATCAAACAGTTATATCAAAACTCTTTGCAACTCTGGGTGAGTGGCACGAGCAGTGGCTACAAACTTTTCCAGGGGGGGGGGGGGCAGTTCTTTCAGTGATAGAAAGACAGATATTTATTGTATTGTTCGCCCTTTTTGGGCACCATACATCATGATACAAGATAATACACAGTGTGTAAAATGATGAAGAAATTGAAAGTGGAGAGGGAAGACCCTGTGTATCTGAAGTACTCATTATCATGTTCGTTTCATTTCATGAAATGTAATTTAAGACAAATTTCGACTATTTACTGTAAAAGATAACCGATAATCATTAAAACATACTTATAAACAGAGCAGAATCGTTGATTTTAGTAGAAAAACATAAATAAGTATCAGGCTGAAATAAAAAAAAAACAACGGTCACAAAAAAGTGTGTGAATACAATTTGGGAACTCTACAGAATTCATCTTTCGTATGTTCATTATCAGATCGTCTCCTCAACACGCCCAAAACTCTCAAATTGCAGAGGGGCGTGGTTGTTAACGAACATGATTTGGAAGAGAGCTGTAGCTTAATCTATGAGAGAGTCGTCATCTCTTGTCATTTCTGATTGACAATTTGAAATCCTTCCCCTCACAATAACATCGCACCATGCTTTCATAATACCCTTAACTGGTAAGAATTCTAACAGAAAAAGAATATATGCGACTTACGTTCTTCGGTTGCACTTGAGGCATTTTTAGGTCCAGTGTTTCAGAATCGGCTGCCACACACAAACCAAATATGGTCATAAATACAACAGCTATCGACTCCATCTTGAATGTTCTTGACTACTCCTAAAACACAGTGAAATGTTTTGATCATTCAAAAGTTATACAATCAAATATATTTTAAAGGGATAGTGAAGAGGTTTTCTTTATTAAAAAATGATGAGTATAGAGTACACTTATAGCATCAATTTGCACCAATCAGACGTTTGTGGTACCTGCAATTCTAAATTTTAGAAAACATCTTTACCATCAATTTAAGAAAGCGGTCAGGTGAATGCTCCAAATTGTTTACTTACTAGAGGTCTAGAAAAACAAACATGTAGGTATGGGCTTAAAAGGATTGTAGAGAAGTTTTCTAAATTTAAAATAAATAATATATATATCACTCAAATTACAATGTGGTAACATCTTGCTAATGGCGTTTCTAGGAGATATCAGGTGAGGGGTTCGAGCAGGGGCTACAAAATTTACTAGGGGGGGAAGGAGGTTGGGGTGGTCACAGACCATTCTTTCACTATGTAAAAAATTGGGGAGGGGAGCAGGGCCAGTCCCTTTTGGGGGGAGAAACGCCACTGCATCTTGTGTTTTATGATAGTGTAATCTATTTGGTATGATAACTCATATAATAGTACATAATTTATAATTGACGTATAATTGTTATTCGAAATACAACATATACAGCTGTTGCATATTTAAAGGAATTGTAAAGAGATTATCTTGATTTAAAATCGATAAAATCATAGACTCTGATAGCATTGATTTGCACAAGTTTAATTTACAATTACTCATGACTGTGTATCTTCAAATTCCACATTAAACTAATCGTTTTATGACGTCATTATCGCAAAATCAGCTTCTACGTCTGTCATAAAACGCAATACACAGTATCGGACATTTAAGTCACCTCAATATTTCTTTAAAAAGATCAAATATATGAACGATTAAATACTAAATATTTGAAAGTTAGCAAATTTCGTACAAATATATAAGTAGGCTACTTCCGGACAATGGATCCATTGGCACCCCACCCCCTCCACTCCAGAAACCAATTTAAGACGTACGGCGCATTCGCATAAGGAAGTGAAAATCTGTTCGATAGTGGAAACGACGTTTTTGATTCCAAAACATATGCTTGGAAAATTAAAGAACAAGAAAGGACCAAAACAATAACTACATTGTCAGACGACCACAATACTCTAACGACTGAGATAATTTTGAAGTTAAAACCATTTCATGCCCATGAATGTACAAACCAAGTCCGAAGCATATGGTTCCAAATAAGCATAAGAACAAAACCAAAACAATGAACGCATGATAAGATAAGAAAAAGAAAACACTACAACGACAGACTTATTTCGAACTGGAGAACAGTTCCTGTCGAATCGTAAACAAAAAAAAAAGTCATTGTTACCTTTGAGTAGTCTTGTTTACGTCGAAAATTCAGAATAAATATATTAAATTTATGAGGTTTTCCTGATAAGAATTTAAAATGGCGACGAGACAGCTACGTGATGTTCGATACGTGTGTCTATTTTTATCTCTTGTCGCTTCAACCTACTCACAGAATTAACAATATCAGGAACTAACAGCACTCGCCACTCGTATTGATTGGTTATATTCCGTTCATATAAACTTGCAGCTTGCCATTGATCCATGTTCGACTTTCCTAAAACTTGGTAACATAAGTTACGTCAGATTTTACTACAAATGATTTTTTCATGGTTATCAATATTTTGATTGTGATCACAGATTTATTACAATTTGTCAATCAATTATTAATAATTATTAAAAACAGAATGTCGAAATGAGACAGATTGATTGATCTTATATCGGTTTTATCAAGATCACCCGAGTGTTGCAAAAGATAATGAATATATGACGTCACATCACTATGACAATATATAAAATGGCGAACGATCAATATAATGCTACAATGAAATCTGGTGTCGAAATTATTGATTCTGATACAGCCGCGAACTACATCACGATCTCTGTATTGTTCTCCTGGATACATGATTAGTCTGAGGATCGCACAGCGTGAAACTCTGAATAAATAAGTTCTGTTTATTTCTATATAATTAGTTATATTACCTACGTTTTATAATGATAAGCTGAAGATACTACTTCATTAAATTTGCCGGATATATATATGGGTATTGTCAGAGTTCGGTGACGTAAGAGGATTTCATTGTCGAAAGGAGTGGGGGGTGGGGGGCATGGCCCAAAAATTAGAATATGGTGCTGGGGGTGGTGCATGGTCCAAAACATTCCGCCTAAATAGCTTCTGTAAGAGTTAGTATATTAACAGCCTCAAAATAGTACTGTTAGTATTCTCGATATAATTTCTTATAATTTACATGGACAATAGAAACACATTTCCCTCTTGGAAATTTCAACCGAAAAAAGTCAAATTTTGGCTGAAAATTGACCTCTATAAAAAAACAAATTTTGAAGGCATAATGTGTGTTTATGTTTAGATTTTTATTTACGCAAAAATATTCTAACACTATTTGAGGCTGATATAGTGATATTCCATTTCGCATGTCTGACAATGAGAGAATATTGATAACACCCTACTTCTCAACTACTTTATGCTGTATTGATTACAATCTTCAATTAATACAAAATGAAATATTTAAATGATGGGCTGACCATGTCCATATATGAAACACGGAGAAAATGTTCTCTCTCGCGTCCACAAATGCTTTATTTCACATCAATGTGGTCTGACTGAAAATCTCTTGTTACCTCCCCTCGATGAAAAAAATAAAATTGATATAAAAATACAGTAAAAGAAACGCACCTTGTTAAATATTTTCCATATTAATAAAATTTTTATAAAATTCTTGTCGGAAACAAAATTGGAATAACGCTGCAAAATATACTAACCTTATTTTCTATCGCATCACAATAATCACCAAATATTTACAAAACAATATACTAACATAAACAGCATAACTCGATTAGCTTATCCGATGCACGTGCTTTCAAATTAGGTCATGTTCTTTTGAATCTCTTTAGATCGTGCAGTCACTCAAAAATTGCGATGATCTGTTTTGAATTTGGAAATATATATGCCATTTATCAATTTCAAAATATTGAAACAAAAAACTAGCTGTAAAACTAACAAAAAAAGTCAACAAAAGTGTACCCAACAAGCAAACCGTAGGCTATTAGGCAAACCAGGTGGATAGAAATCAAGGGCTATTATTGAGTAGATATCAGATACGTTCGAAACATCTATCAACAAGAGTCAACCGGTGAGAATTGTTCGTGTTTATTTTCGTCTGCTGGGAAATAAGGGGCAAGCCTTATTTTTTTAGTTTGGGTGGGAATCCCCCTTTAGCAACACCATTTCCCCTTAGAAGTTAATAGAACTGTGAGAGCTTTGAATAACTGGCTAATATATTCCACTTCAGGTTTTTGATATTACATTTGTTTAGAATGTACACAAGAAGACATTATGATATCCACAACTCACGTTCGCTTCCAGCGGATGCTGATATCGCAAACTAGGTAGTAGTTGGTAGTTGGATTGGTTCAAATCGGATGATTCTGTTTGGTTGTTGAGTCTTCGTTAGACAGACGGAGACAGGTTAGTTCTATCCCTTTAAATACGCTTTAGACCTGAAGACAATGATGTAAATTAATGTTATCAGTGTCCCCAATGCACATACACAATTTACAAAACCTCTTTACAATCTCTTTAAGGATAGGATTTGATATGAAAATATTTCCAAGTATGCTTTTACCAAGGGTTGTATTTCATAATGTGAATTTGACAATGGTTTGTATCAGTGTATAGATTTGACAGTAATATTTAACAGTGTGTGTAATCTAGTAACAAAGTTTAACAGGTAAGTCAAATTGCCCTTTATACAGGTATAAACTGTTTATGTAGGTTAATGGGCATATAACGACAGGGAGCTATGTCAAACCCCTCTACCTTTACATTAGCTGACAGGGCGATAGTAAGCTGCCTATGCTTCTTTGATTAGCTAGGGATGAAAGATTCGGAACCAGTGCTCGATATTCAAATCGCAAGGATGTAATATAGATGTTCCTTACTGGACGAACGAAGGTATGTAATTTTGCAGGCAAGGCCATTTGTGGGGTTTTGGTTCAGCTTTTTAACTAATTGATTATGCTTGATGTTCTGAACTGCTATGAAAGAACTCGAAGCTCAAATTGGTGAATGATGAAGAGGGCAAACAGTACACCTTGTCACAATTAGATACAAAGCAATACAGGGAATTTTTTTTATCTATATGAAAATAATGGTATATTCTTATGATCACACACACTTTATGGATACTTTAAATGACTGTTCGTTCACTTTCCCCCTGGACTGATGAAAATAACAATTTCCTCTGGCCCCTTTCGAGATATTTATTGAGTTATTATTAGGGTAGCCGGGTCTTCGTTTGTACCTCTATTATACCACATTTTACATCCTGTATCAACTAATCCTAACAGATTAATATCAATAAGATACGAGATAAAATGGGGTTGTGAAAGCCCCTTTTCAAGTGCACGATGCATATCTACCATTAGAATCAATTCACGTTTCACAAGCGTTTATTTGTCATGATGCAGTTGTTCATTATTCACTTTTATTTCATGCAAAGGTTTAAGGTGTTTTCTGACCATGTTTGGAACTTTGACACTATATAAGAAATCTCAGCATAATGTGCGCCACATACCGACTCTAGGGTACCATGGCGTTGTTCTTGACGTTATGGTAAGTTTGTGAGCGCTATATAACGAGTCTTTACAGTATCATGTATCGTTTTTGAGCACCACATACCGATTCTATGGCACTTTGGCACTTGGGTTTAGTGTTTATTGTAAAGTATGGGTGCTCTATAACGAGTCTTGGCATTATGTAACCGTTCTTTGGGGTCATATAACGATTCTAGCACCTCTAGTACGTTATATCAAAGTTTTGGGCCCTACATAACGGTCCTTGGCATTATAATAAAGTGTCGGTTTAGAGGGGTCAGCCTCTGTGTAAAGTAGGACCAAGACGAGGTCACGATTTTGGTCGACGTCATTTCTCGGTTGCTCGTGTATCTGTGCTTAGTAACCGAATTCTAATATTTCTCGCCGCACTCATTCTTTGTTGACATAAACATCTTATGTATTGAATATTCTTAGTCACTGTTTGCACAAATTGACCTTCAGTAACTCGAGAAGCTGGGTTTCAAGGTCGACCATGACAATGACTTGGCGAGAATACTACACTCCCATTTCACGTGAATAACTCGCAGAAAACCTTGACGGTTCTAAACATGTTTCTGATCGCTAGGTAGATCGCAGGGAACACCATAGGGAGTATTTGAGAATATCACAAGGGGTAGGCCCACAAGAAGTACCTGGTGTGCAATAGGTACCAACAGATTTTGTTTTAAGGTACACGAGGGGTTTGGAGTATAGAAAGCCAAAGCTGGATATGATATAGATTTAATAGGGCTATCAGTCAATATTACATGCTAATGTGAATATAAATAAATGATCGTTGGCGTAAATTGTCCAATAAAGTTGCCTTTGAGTGCGAAAATATGACAAAAGTCAAAGTCAAAATAGGTCAAATACGTCAAGAATATTAGTAGAATTTACCAAATCTTAACCTAATGCCTTTGATATTATCAACATATACCTTGTTTATTTTATATCGATATTCAGACACTTGGTGGGAATATTTACTTTATTCTTCAATCCATTCATTATATTTACTATCCCTAATATAGCTTATAACTATCATGCGCGCACGTGTAATCTAATACACCTCTTGTTATATTGATCTGACGAAATATGTCGTGATATGTAGTAATTATTCTGCATCATGACAGCAAATTAAAAAGTTTTATGAAAGTATGTGGTTTAAACAGAGCTAGGTTAAGTATTGGGAAGAGTCTTCTGTTCATTTACTGTTAGTTTGGTTATCAAAATTTCGTACATTTCAGCTTTCGGGTAGGTAGGTATTTTCGGACTTCCATATCAAAAGCTATAATTTTGATTTATAATTCGAGGTAAAATCGAAAATCGTTCTTATTTTCTTCATAGCCCCTTCTTCAACTTTTTTAATCCCAGTTTTTCTAATTCTGAGTTGTATATTTTCAGGTCAGAGGGTCACAAGGTTAACGGGTTATTTTTGAGAAACTCTTCGTGGTAGTGTGTCATTGTGTCACTGATCTAAATAAAAGAGTTTGAAGGGAGTTTCTGAACGTTAAGCCATTGGCAGGCTGATATTGTAGTTAGCTCTTCAGGGGAACTCTTGGGAAATATTAAAGACAGATTTCGGATAATTTTGACAGTTCCTTTAAATTGTTTTTGTCTGAAAAAAGACAAGTTGTTATTGGACAAATCGTAGTTGGAGTTCAGCCTGTACAATGTATAGGTAATCGGAACGTGTCACCACTGGGCAGCTAGTGAAAGAAACGAACCATCAATTGTTACTGGATTACAGCATTATCAGGTGTTCTTCGTGAGATCTTTCAGTTGCCCATTGCCGAAAAAAGCTACAAAACGTGTGTCATCTCGGATCAGAGAGATCTAGATTGTAGCATCTTGTTTACAGTAAGCTTGTAGATTCATTCAAAAGATTTAAGCAACATCACAGCGTCTTAGTACCATCATCTACGAGTTGCCTTCTCTTAAAAGCATCACAGCCAGGAGGCGGAATACAGATGGCAACTAATGGAACGACAGATGCGTTTCAGAATGCTGGTGTAGGAACAATAGATTTGGTGGTCATTGTTATTTATCTAATTTGTTGTTTACTCTGTGGACTTTGGGTAAGTTTGATATTTCTGAAAGTACTTCACACCGTAGCGATTATCAGTTGCCATGGTTGCATAAAATGAAAGTGGCCATTAGTTTTTGCTTCATTCGATTAATGCAAAGATTGAGATAGCTCTTCGACAAACCTCTCGACAGTAGGACATCGAAAAGGAGTATGCACCGTAAAATATACATAGTCACTCTGAAATTGCTAAATCTCTATACAAAATGAGAGAAAAGTTAAACCCAATTCAAAGGTGCAAATTCTTCCTTTATAACTTTATAATACAAAACATAAATTGAAACGTTGAGCTCTATACATCTCAAATAATTTAATTTCACAGGTCCATGTGTACACATATACTCTTTGATAATTCTTGTAATATTTGTAAGGTTCAAGGTTATAGAAAGTCGTACATTGACAATAATTAACAAATATTTCGTACCACCCTGTGTCAGAATTTTATGAAAAAGATATTCAAAATTGTAGGTAGACTTTGCTCTCCTTTAGAAGTGTAATTCAAGGTTTTCCAAACGGTAGCAAAGTACAATGTCCTTTTTGTAGGAGTTATGAGATTTTATTGTGCACTGATGAAGGTTATTAGGTCATCCTAGATGACAGTTGGTATAATATCTTCAGGAGAAGAGTGCTCTGCATTCGCACAAATTAGTAAACAGACAGACCAACCTCTGTATCATGAGATCGGATTTGTGCCAAATACCATGTTCATTTCAGTGCAATAAAAGTCACTTTATAAGAGTTGAACCAATACGGTTAATTTATGAACGTCCACTAGGGATTATCAATAATGGTTTGATATAGAGGTCAATAGGGGTCAATAGGACTGAAGATTTGAATATATAGGAGCATGATCTCTTATGTAAATGGTCATAATTTTAACATAAAAGGTTACAAGGCCCTAAATGCTTGAGAGACCCTGTTTCACGATTAAATTAACTAAGATAAAATCCAACTTTGAAAAAAAAATTTAAATTTCAAATCGATTTAACTTTGACATGTCAGATCCATTCCGGCAAGAGAAAACTGCCATTTTGCCATTTTACCCGCCTGTTAGTGTTAACTGGACACTTTACAGAGACAAAATGAAATCCATGGTTGATGGGATATCCGTTGGCCTCATTTCGAATGGTAGCGCCTACAGAGTTTTATTTGATGGATTCGTTTATTCCAGGCAACATGGAGAACGCAGCGAGGATCTGTTTCAGGATATTTTCTGGCCGGAAGAGATATGCTATGGTTTGCTGTAAGTAATCATTCATTGTCCAATAAAAGTATATCTTAAAAGCAAGAGATCTACCGTGCAAATGATGCATACATATACTCTTCTTAAGCTAACATATTTGTGGAAAACTGATTGATATTAGTGTTCCAGTTGTACGCAAAATGCAACAATAAGACTTCTGCTTTGCTGTATCTTGCCTTCCCACATGTGTAACTATTTGATTAAGAAATAGAAACACCATACATAACAAATTCGGCAATCTTTGTAAACTATATTTCAGATCGGAGCGTCGTTATTCTCGAGTAATATAGGTAGTGGAAGTTTTATTGGTTTGGCTGGTACAGGAGCTGCAAATGGTATAGCTGTAGCTAGTTATGAATTAAATGTGAGTATTGCATCCTTAATACTTGTCAATCTTCAAACTAACCCCAAATAACTCATACCAAAATGATATAGGAAAAAGAAGGCATTAAAAAGTATGAATTAACAAATGTAAGAATTTTTTTTGCGTGATATGTTTTAGTCGGTGTAGTTTGTCGTACATTGGGCATGGACTCAGATATGATCATCATCTGGCCACGTATTCTCGAAACGATCTTAGAGCTAGGATGTCCTTGATTCAATGTCAGAAGACAAGAACCTAGGACATCCTAAGATCGTTTCGAGAATACGTGACCAGGTTCCTCGTACCCATCTCACACTTCCTTAACGGCACGCATTATGACAATTATAACCCTCATAATCAGCATACAGAATTTCTATCCTATTTTCTCGACTTCACTGATTATCATTCCAGGGTTTATTCTGCTTGCTATTGTTAGCATGGTTATTTGTTCCAGTTTATATCTCTAGTGGGGTAAGTTGAAACTGTGCTTTCCTTCCGATGATAGCACACTTCAGACTGAAGTTAGACAATAGTGTATATCTTCCTATCCACACTAACTTTTTTAACTAAAATTTTTAACGCCTTATTCTCGAAAACGTAACTAAAGACGATCTTTGTTTTCCAGCTATTTGGTTGGTCAATCACTTAAATTGATTATGAATTTAGTTTTGGTATCCAATCAGATTACTGAGTGTTAAAATCTGAATAAAACATCATATTAATTTTTCTTTATATTTCGAAGGTCTACACCCTACCAGAATTTTTACTGAAAAGATTTGGAGGTCAAAGGTTACAGGTGTATATGGCGGTTCTGTCTCTTATTATATATGTCTTCACCAAAATATCAGTGAGTTATTATATTTTTGATATAAAGGTTTGCACTTTTGGCGTATTCGAGAGTCCATTGCAACCTCCGGGGGTGTTATTCACAGGTATTTTAACGATTTCGCCATGCATTACCCATTGTGTCACACTCAAAAAACGCAAGTATAGTATGTACTTGAATGACAGTTGAATATAAACCAGAATCATGTATTCGGGCATCATGCGCATCTTCCAACAATAAGATTCAGAACTGTGAACAGCTCTGAGCATGGCACAAAACCTTGCCCCGTGGCATTTTGAAACTTATGGTATTTTAACCCCCCTTGCCAATGAGACCAGTTACTTATGAACGTCATCATGTCTTATTAGACATGCAGTTGAAGGAAGCATTGTGTTTTCCACTAACAGCAGATATATGAGAAACCGGCTGTCTATTTGAAGAATTAGAGTAACTTGTGATACCTCAATGTATGTATTTGTGTTGCAGGCTGATATGTATGCTGGGGCTATATTTATCAACCAAGCTGTACAGTGGAATATTTATGTTGGTGTTCTGGTCCTGCTGGCTATTACAGCTATTTATACTGTTTCCGGTAGGTCTCACTGGACATGTTTTGTCCGATATGGGATCAAATGAAACTTTAGATTTCTATGTTGATCGCCCCCTTGGTAATTTTGTAACCCATAAACGGCCTCACCATCCGATGATTCATAGAAACGCAACTGTAACCCAGTTAGCAATATTGATATTGAAACGGAATTGAAATAACCATGGTAATCTGATGTTCCAGGTGGGTTAAAAGCTGTAATATATACAGATACTCTACAGACTGTAATCATGGTGGGTGGAGCTCTGGTGCTCATGGTTTTAAGTAAGTATTATTTACTTCATCTTATTCATACCATGAGTAGAGGGTGCATTCTACAAACGACGATGTTCTAGCCGAGGACGACACCGTTATTGAACAGTACATATGTGTTTTTCATTTAACGTATAGGTGAAGGTCTTGCAAAGCGATTGTTGTATAATATAATAATATATCGAATAATATTAACAGAATAAATTCAACCATCCCTGATCTGTTGCAAGCATAGTCTGTCTTCTGGTATGGTACAATTGTTTGAAATCAGTACTGGTTCATTCCACCTCCTTCATTTGCCTTTTTGATTTTCCAGGTTTTACGAAAGTCGGGGGTATTGAAACTCTGTACGAAAAATATAAGTACGCAATTCCTGATGACGTCAATGGTACATGTGGTATTCCGACAGACGAAGCGTTCCATTTATTACGAGATGTAAATGCTGGTGATCTCCCTTGGCCAGGAAATGTATTTGGTATCACGATTCTCAGCACTTGGTACTTCTGCTCCGATCAGGTTAGTTTAAGCATACAGAATGCCGACGTAACCGGTCTTTGGATTTGATTGGTCGATCACTAAAATTAATTTTAAATTTAGTTTCATTATTCATTCAGATTTCTGTTTTTCTTTACTGTAAAATCCGGGTTTTATATTATTTAAGTTTTCGATAATAAGGCGCTCGTTTAAGACCTGTTTAATTATATATTTCAGGTACTGGTGCAGCGATCTCTAGCGGCAAAAAACATGCACCATGTAAAGGGTGGTTCCATCATGGCGGCTTATTTAAAAGTTTTGCCATTATTTACCACAGTATTCCCTGGCATGATCAGTCGAATTTTATTTCCAAGTAAGTCTACAATCTTGTACATGTATTGGAAAGTTAACCGCCATGTTCCATTCGGCAATACTCGGCAGTTTCCGTAAAACTGAATCTATTACAGAGATTGCGGTACCTTTCAAGGTAAATGGTTTGCCCATGTTCAAGATGTATTTATGGGGATTCTCTATCCAGTCATTTGCTGAGTCAACAGAGATCCATTCCAACACTCGTATCACTTTATAGACTGAAAATCAGAAATTTGGTTCGTTTACAACTTAACTTAATATTTCTGTTTTGACAATGTTTCAGATCAGATAGCTTGTGTAGATCCTGATATATGTGAAACAGTTTGTGGTAATAGAGAGGGGTGTACCAATATAGCTTACCCTAAACTTGTTATTGAGCTCATGCCCGTAGGTAACTACCCAATCGTTTTATATTTTGGTTGTCCTGTGAGTCTCAAAACCTTTATCAATTCCTAAAGGAAACCATTTTTACAATGTCAGGATATTAAGACCTTCGTCTTATACCTTGACTACAATAACCACCTTTCTTGTATCATTGAATGATTGGATTTGAGTGGATTGTAGGCTAGGAATACAGTCTATAAGAAACAATGTGGAAGCTTCTGATTGGCTATATTCTCTAGCGTACAAATGGTTGCATTTACAAAATTCTGTGACACAAGAAAGGCTTCTATTGGAATCAGGGTATAAGCACGAAGTTCGTTATACCTTGACACTGTGAAGATGACAGGAAAAACGCGTCAGCTCCTCACTGCCACTTTGAGTTTGTGGCATCCCTAAATTCCATGCCATTATGAGGGTAGATGTGACGTCATAAGATCGCAGTTTTGATGGAGTGCATTATTATTTTCATCTTTTCTAGAACTTCTAATGGATAAGTCGTCGGAGTGGTGACTGATACAGACATCACATGAAAAGAGGTTGGGTTTCATGTTCCAGATCGTTTTGCTTAAGACTTTTCCGAATATTTGACCTTTTCACAAAAAATTAAATTCTTTTCACCTAACACATTCAATGGTTGTTCCTATCTTTATAATTATTACAGATTCCTAATTTAAGTTTTTATTTTTTTGGCCTGCAGTGAGTGTCAAAACCCCTGACCAAGTTAAAATCTGATTCCAGGTTTAAAAGGGCTGATGTTGGCGTCCATGATGGCGGCTCTGATGTCTTCATTGACCTCCGTCTTCAATAGTTCCAGTACCATCTTTACTATTGATATCTGGAAACGATTCCGACCAAAATGTTCTGATGCTGAGATGCTGGTTGTTGGGAGGTAGGTAACCTGGATTTGGTTCGGGTGCATATCTTACGTTTCGGGGAAGGTAGGGTTTGATTCTCCACAATGTGGAGAAACAGTTGAGCAAAGAAGCTGCAGTTGAAAGATTTGAGCGAGCGAAGTAATTCAAAGCCTTAATCGCAAACAGAAACCCAGGATGTAAAAATAAATTTTGCTCACAGAACTATACATATATATTTTTTCGAGGATTTCGGGTTTCGTTTTCCAGTTCGGATCGTTGGAATATGGTTTATTTATTTTCCTTAATAGGGCTGCCATATCAGGTTTTTTTTTCAATTTGCATATTTAATTTTTTTTTTTTTACATTTCAGAGTTTTTGTCCTGGCTCTGGTAATCATCAGTATTGTCTGGATTCCCGTTCTTCAGGCTTCACAAGGGGGACAACTCTTTAACTATATACAGGCTGTGACGGGGTATTTTGCTCCACCAGTTCTCTCATTGTATTTATTGGCCATTCTGTGGCCTCGGTGTAATGAACAGGTACATGTATATGTAGCTCTTCTGTTTTTGTAATCAAGGCCTGGTATCTGCTGCCTCCTCTCACTGTACTGGCGGTTACCCTGGATTTAGAAGTTAAAACCCAGACGTGAATTATGTGGATGTATATCCAATGGTGCTACATATGAGGCCAGCTTTGCCATCCACTAATATATGATTGGTCTAAGAAGTTGACAAATATTTGCCAGGGCATACTACTTCAGATGACGGCTGATTACTTATACGCAAATTCATACCACCAATAACGTATCCCTTTTTCATTTCAGGGGGCGTTTTGGGGGTTGATGGTTGGACTATTGGTAGGAGTAATAAGAATGGCGTTAGATTTTGGATATGGTGCTCCAAGATGCGGAGAAGCCGAATTCCGTCCCGACGTCATTTCCAAAATTCATTTTTTACATTTTACAATTTTGTTATTCGTCATCAGTTTAGTAGCGACTATAGTAATATCATTGTTCACTACACCGTTAGATCCCGATAATGTAAGTATGCACGTACATCTGACCTAGTTACGTATACACGAACATCTGACCTACTTTGTAAGTACGTACATATGGCCTAGTTAGGTATACACGCACATTTGACCTAGCTTTCAAAGCTTTTTCTTATTGAATTGCAATATTTAATTTAATTTATTCACAAATTTAATTTTCTGCACGTCCATGTTCTTTTAGATAATCCGATGTACGTGGTGGACACGCCATGACAGTCACGCTGAAAGAACGTTGTTCCCAGAGGAAGAGAGAAGACATAAACTGGCTGAAATAGCAAATGAAGAACTTCGTCATAAACCGGTTACTGGTACGTACATTTCTCGTAATTTATTTTTCCAACTGTTAAAAGAAAGAAACAATCGTAAGGATTACATCTTAGGTTCACGACGATCCTGTCTACCAGTTGGTCCTTGAAAGAAGACAACTTATTCAGGGTCTTAACACAACAATTGAGATTAGAACTCATCAGTACCGCAATACAGAAAACTTCCCACTGAAAGATCTTGCCCGTCTCTTTGGATAATATTAACAAATGCTTCGTTCTATTATAGATGTAAAAACTCTACCAAAATGGCGACAGTGGGTGTATCTGGTCTGTGGTTATGAACCACCCCAGATTGTCGATATCTCGGACGAGGAGAAGAAGGAGGCTCAAAAATTATTAACTTCAGTTCACGAACATCCAAAATGGAAAATGTTCGTCAACCTAAATGCTTTAGTTCTAATGACATTTGGGATATTTTTGTGGGGATTTTTCGCTTAGGTTGAGACCTGTTTCTTTTGAAAGGCGTTTTTATGTATTTCAAGTTCATAGATATGAATATTGTCTCGGGGCCTCAAACTTATCCTCTGTGATAGTTGGACCAAAGCGAAGTAGAAATTTGCATCAAACATATTCGATTGTGAATCTTCAACGTCTATTATTAGTTTATAGTTTTAATCTTAGATTTTAGATGTGCGTTATGAGATAAATTGTATAATAAAATATTTTTCAGTTATTACTGCTGTCTCTGCTGGTGGACACACTTGTCCCCAAGGGTATTCAACTTCGTTGAAATCGAGATCTACTGTTATAATTACTGATATTTGTGAATGGAGTGTGCATTGCTGTCGTTTTCTGTCAAAGGGGTGCAACTCGTGACACAACAATTTGTTAATGTTTCGAATAGATTTCGAAACATAAGCTTTCAACATGAGCGTAGCGCACGTGCTCTCTCAGTTGCATTCCGGTGCATGTGATTCGAGAGGACAATTTCTGTCAAAGGGGTGCAACTCTTGAAACGATAAATTGTCAATTCAGCTCGTGACCAGTGAGCTAGACTTTCTGTTCGAATAGATTGTGGAACCTAAGCTTTCCGCGAAGTCACAGCCTAAGTGCTCTATCGATTGCATACCGGTCCATGGGATTTAGTTTCGGCGCTTTCCGGTGCAACTAGTGACATCTTGTCAATGATAATTTCCCTTGGATTATGTCACCATTGGCTTAAAGGGACTGTTTAGATTCGGGTGAAAAAGACAACTGAATATAAACATGGTTCCAATAATTTATTGGCAACTGGATAGTTCACAAATATTTTTCTGTCATTATCGTGATTTATAACAAATTATTATTATTAATGGCTCCTGGTGATTGAATGTACACAAGATTGAGGGACAAAACAAACAACAATAATAGATAGTTTTAAAATGAGAAATACCCTAGTTATGACAAAATTGATTGTAAGATTTCTTTTGGGTAACAAAACCCTGTTCGATTGATAATTTAACACCAAGGTTTGTTATTGACCAATCATAAGAATGGGACACCTAAGTTATCCCAAGTTAAGTTTTTAAAAGTGTGGGGCCAGTTTCACACAAAAATTATTAGGTTGTATGTATGGAATATCTTAATATAAATTTCACATTCACACGACAAATTCTTAACATAAGATTTTTTGATGAAAAGGCCCTGATCAATGATTTTTTTAAACAGTTAAAAAGTCTATAGGAGAAAGGGAGATAATTCAATTGTCCTCCATATCTTCATCATCATCCTGCATAATAACTTCCACCATCTTCTTCTCCAGTACTGGGGTTTTTGCTGAAAAATATAATGATTATTTTGTATTGTTTAAAGCCAATCCTAAGGAACTAAAAATCTATGAATACTACACAAATGAAATGAAATCCTAATTGTATGCATCTTTTTGGCTATGAAGATAGGCAATGCCATGCAGTATGCAGTGAGGGAAAATTTTTGAAAAGACAGCAGCATTTCATTGGCCTATTATTTATTAACTGATTTCTTACTCTTACGGGGATCCTTAACTTGCACAGATTGTAACACATGAGGCATCAGTTTATTGTTTAATCTAAATGGCTAGATGCTTTTGCTACATGTTACCTTCTACATGCTAGAAGATCTTAAGACAATACCATTCACTTTGACAATAAGACAAGTGGTAATTACCTCCCGGAGCCCTGATAAGGTGAATATTTTTATCAACTTCTCTGACATCAGCCTCCTTTCGTAATTTCTTTCCTTCTTTTAATCTGAAATAGAAAACAAACAGTTAGCTTTCATCATGAAATTATCTAGACACCTGATACCACTTTTCATGATAACTTCTCATTTATGATTGATACACTTCCTAATGTGAATAGTTTATTAGCTGCTACCAATGTTTTGCCAGTGTGTTGTTATATTGGATTTCAGAAATAAAGGCACCTAAAGGTGTAATAAGACTGACAAGAATATTGGCTTGTTAGGTCTTGGGATAGATCTAAAAGCTTTTTTCACTGTCAGAGATTCATAGTAAACCATGAAGCTGAATCTAAAATATCACTGTAGAGTTGTATCGTATTGTATAGAGAGATTTTGTAGAACTACTATACTATACATTACCTGTTTATAATATGTTGTCCTTGTCTCTTTAATTTAATCTTATCTATTCTGTCTATAGCTTTAACTGAAATACAACAAAAATATACACATTAATTATCCTTTGAATGAAGCTCTGGGGATGGTTCAAGGAAAACAGAATTAAATTCTGAAGGGCGAAAACAAGGAAATAAAACTGGCAAAAACTTGTGCCCTTTATCATTTAGAGTTCTGTCCAATATAGATACTATATTATATGCCACCATCTACAGACTTGTATCAATGACAGGCAGATGCTTTAAATTTAATGGCACCGTATTAGCTCAATATATGCTGGAATCTGACCCCTCTGATGGCTGCTTAACTCAAACTTACTTGTGTTGTTCCATAATTCACGATTATATTTAATGGGTATATTTCTTTTCTTTTCAAATTCGAATGATGGGTCCACAGCCAAATCTTTTCCAGTAGCCTTCCTATATGCCTTAGTCCATCTTGCTTTTCTTGGATTTTTCCTCTTTTTAAAGGCTTTGTGACATTTACCACGGCAGAACTTAAATATCTGAAAACATCAAAAACATTATTATTCATACATGATGAAAGCTCACACTTGGTCGAACCTCAGCAACAGTGTCTGTGGCATTTAGAAAGGTTCAGAAATTGACTAACAGACGACAAAAAACTCACTAAAGACATATAAATTGTAGTTAGTGTTTCATGTAAAATGTACCAAGAATTGATCTGTCTAAAACCAGTATGGTGTAGCCAATTAGCGACGTATGACAAATGATTGACCTATTATATATTTATCCTAAGATTAACAGGTTTTTAATTAGTTCATGATGAGTCAATCACCAGGATTAAAAAGACTAAAGTGGGAACCACATCATCACAGGCCTACTGAAGTAGTAAGGTTTTTGATCAATTCATGGACTTTTTTACTTTATTCAAATCTTGCCGATTGATCAAGAAATAACCGTAATTAGGCAATGAGATTTGGCATACAATTCTTTTTCATAAACATTAAAGAACTTGAAGAGCCAAATTGGACCAACAATCAACATGCATATTTTGTAAACAAAACCACGTGGTCGATTACAGATGATCGAATTCGTTCGGGACTTAATTTTTGTTAATTCTCACTCTACAAAAGGTCTTTTAAATAGATATTCGACCCACCTTACAGTCGTTTCTAACAAACTGAATCCCGTGGCCTGGGTGGATCGTTGAGGAACAGAAATAACACTTCTCAAGACGCATTTTTGTCTCTTATTTTCTTCAACCTATTTGTCAGTCCACCATGTTTACTAAAAGGACGACTTCCGGTTTGTTGGGCAATACGTGATCTGATTGGTCGTTATTATTAACTGGAGTTATTTCCCTTGCATCGTTAAAAAGGATGCCACAGACTACAGCAATTCTTAAGAATCATACAAAAGGCGATCAAAAAGGGGTTTTGTTCCCTTGACGAGTACCCCATATAAATTGATTTGAATCTTAAATTCACTGAAGCTAAAGAGCATTAAGCTAATTGTTTGAAAATTGACATCTGACCCACCAGCAGAGACACCAATCTTGGCTATTGAGAATGGGTATTATGCGATACAGGCCCGTCAATAAGCTAGGTTAACAGTTTTGAAATTGATTTTTTCAACTTGTCCAGGTTTCACAGACATAATATTTGCCACATAAGGACTATTTTAATACCATTTTCATAGAAATCTATAACCCCGGGTTAGCGTGACAGTAGGCCCTATTGAGTTAAAATTAGATACTTTTGACGAAGTCTCCCTTCCGATAGGCCTACTTCTTCGGACACAAAATCCTCATTGAAGAGCTAGATCGAAAATGGAGGTTAAATTCTTATATGATATATAATATAGATTTTTGACAAATAATCTTACTACAAGAAGTCGTGAAGACCTAGAATTAAAGATAAACCTCTTGAAATGTCTGTCGATCTGAAGGATGGATTATAAAGCTGCCCGAGGTTATATTTTCATTTGCCAGTAATTACCAGTTCCTAGTCGGTCGGATTGTTGAGTTTCTAGAAGAAAGTAAACAACAAAATCAACCTGCTTCTATTAAAAATAATATAGAACATGTTTTAAAGTGACGGTCTTGTGAAATATTATAAAGTTAATCAGACTCGTAGCCAGACGATATATCTCAAGGGGCACTGGTGTAGGGTGCTGTAATAATGAAAATGATCCGTTGTAAGGAGAGCAATCGATTTTTTCAAAAAGGGGGTAGGGGAGGGGGGGGGGGGTACATTGACCCTTGCCCCTTGCCCCTTGCCCCCCCTATAGCTACAAGCTTACATAAAGCTGTCCCACCCTGCAGCCGACGTGGACCCTCCACACTCAATCCCCCCTACCTTCTTAACCGTTCCTCGTTTGATCAAGGTTCCACTTGATGATACCCGGATATAAAGTAAGGATCCACAATCTCAATATTTATTTGTCTGTCTTAAATTTCAATAAATATTTAAATTAATAGGAAGGGCTTTAAAATATCGAATCTAAATTTATTTATGTAAGAAAGATTTTTAAACAATGTAGATCACTCCCAGACAATCTTTCAATCAATCCTTGTGTTTTGGTTTTTGTTGAAAAGTTGAAAAGTTGAACTTGATCAGTGGATGTACAATCAGTGCAGATATTGCACAGTGGATTTTGTCAGTTCAGTTTCCTTGAGCACTGACTGAATCATGCCCTTAAAATAATTTAGCCACACCTCCTGAATATTTTAAACCGAACAAGTAGGTTATAATATTGACTATTTTGTACTTTCTCTAAAGATAAGATAAAAACGATCCATTTTATCCACAAGACGCCTTGTTATGTTGTTATCAATTGTAATCAGTCCCAGGGAACTCAGTATTACATAATATCTCGACTTCTAGGTTAACTGGCCTAGATAAAAGTGAAATTGAGACGTGGCTGATAAGTTTAGCCCTCATTTGGGACATCGTTATTTTTCCAAAGTATTCTTTTTTGTGTGTGACTTTTGACTGGAAATTGTCATTATTGATCCCCTTCTATCACAGTGCCAAATAACAATAAATCTTTCCAAAGTCCAGCTAATGCGATCATCTTGACTGCAATATCCACCTCTCTTGTAGCACTGACTGCAACATTTTTGATTGGATTGTACGTTTGCGAACCAAAGGCAGCCTCGAAAGCTAGTTTTTTGGGCAAAAATGTCATAACTAGTTTAGAAATCTCAGTTATTTTGTTTCTTTTAACAGACCCTGTCACTGTTCCCGAGTATCACTGAACTGCCACTGTACCTAGCTCAAGCTGCTGATTAGTTATGAGACGACATCCATAAACTAGATAATTATACAATATGTTACGATATCTACCAGTATGATTTAATGATTACATTATTTATTATGTTATGTGCGTGTAGATGTTCAATAATGTTTATTATAATGTACATGTTTTATTACCAAATCCGAAACACGACCCTTTATTGAATTGATACGTAACGGATGGGTTCCCGCCAAAACTTGCAGATCTGAACTGACACAACTATGTAAAGCAATGTAAAAACTTCCCATAGGCGTTACTAGACATATATCCTTAGACTTGTAGACGATGTGAGTAGTGCTGTTTTTACGAAAGGGTAACTGATATGGCCAGTCTTTACGACCCTCACACCCCCTGACCCCCCCACGCCCCTCACCTCCTCCTCCTCTTGCCAACCTTCAAAGTATCCCCTTTGAAAATTCTGTGTCCTCAACACAGCCCCTCCCCCCTAATGATCCATAGACACGTCAAGCTGGAAGTGAAAGCAAAGAAAGGTTGTTCGGACTGTAAAATTTTATGTTTTATATTTTAAGTAATATTACTCATGTCGTATTATATAAGGTAATAAATTACTTATAGCACACTGAGAAGTTACACGATATACAGTGACATAATTAACTATTAACTATCTGTACTGAGCGTTGTCAACATGGCCCACCGAGTTTGTGGCAGGGATTCGAGCGAGAGCAGGCCACACCGAGGACTGGAGCACTCGAACCCAGTAGTTAGGATAGATCTCAGGGTCATGGAATTTCTATCTGGGAACAACGGAGGCTTATCCAGCGTCGTTGACCATGATTCGAGTTGAACCCCAGAGTATGTGGAATGGGTTGCTAATTGAAAACTAAAAAAATGGGGTTGGGGATGGGAGAGGGGTCGATCCCGCTGTAACTCAAGGGTCTTGTTAACTGGGATGATGGGGGATCAATGATGGAGTCGGCTGGTTTCCTGCTCTACCCAGGTTTGCTTTACAATGTATTTTTAAGGTTTTCGGCAATCAAAAGGCAAATATTAATACAGGCGTTTGCTAAGTTCTGGCTGCGTGCCTCTTAATGCAATGAGCTACCCGCAAAGAACAGAAAACTGAGACTAGAAACTTCATTTTATTTCAATAATGGGGCCTTCCATTAAGGAGAAAGAAAACACAATTGATTTTAAAGGCAGTACATTACATTCAACACGATTAAGCGGTGACCCGCATGCACCAAATTATATGGTACGTGATTCTATTTAGCTTATAAAAATACTTCGTGCTTATGAATATTCAACGACCTGTTAATATTTTACTTCGTAGTGCCCACACTTACTGCATCGATTACAGCTAAATAGAATTTGTCAAAAAGACCAAATCAGAGAACACTTCTATAACAAATCTTGTCCAAACCTATATATAGTCAATTTGTATCGCCTATTCGCAACTTCAAGACTTGCGCACTACCACCAGAATGCGATAGAATACATGGCTCTTTATAGGGGACGTCGGTCGATTACAGAGTGGATGGTTTAGAGGGATTTTACTGTATGTAAATAAAATGAAGAACAGAATCTCAAACTTACAAGTAGATATCTCCCCGATTTTTGTTTGTGTGCGTTTTTAAAAACACTGATGCAACAGACCTTGCAATAGATTCAGGTCGATCTACAAATACAGATTTTAGTGTACGGTATATAAAACTTTTACAAGTAATACCACCTTTGTTGCAACAGACCTAACAATAATCTAAGGTCGATTTAAAAGTACCCATAGAAGTTTATATTTGATGCAATATGTGACTAGTGAACTAGTAAGATTGATAAACATGTACCCGGATGACAACTGTTTTCTTTTATTATCAAGAGACGACAACATCAATAACTCAATTCAATGCAGTTCTAATTCAGTGCATAGAGGTTATTTGTACTGTTAATAGTAGACGACGAGGACTCGATAAATCGAAACATGCACTCTAATATTTTGTTTATAACATTTAGTAAAAGATAATTGAGATAAAACTATATTTGATTTCAATTAGCTTATAACAATTTTGTGCTGTGGGTTCGATTCCCTATATTAAGAGAAGGAAATATTGATTTGGACTTGTTAATGATTAATTAATTAAGTGAATTTAGAATAAAAAAGAAATATTTCAAATACCAGTGGATGTAGAATCGTTTCTAAATTATAACTAATAACGTCGTTATGTCGATGATATCCGCATGAAAGAACGGTTACTCTAGACGTAAAACAACTCGCAGTATCTTGATATGCGTTTAAAAAAGTTTCAGTGCAATAAATCACTAACATAATTTATGAACAGAACAATCAATCAAACTGAATCAGGGCAATGTTTTTGTGGAAATATGCAATTTCCTGGAAGGATACGCTCTCTTTCAAAATGCATAAAATGCAGAATTTACGCCCTTAAAAAAAAAAAAAAACGTTTTCCACTGACAACCTGAAAGGCTCAAATTTCGAAAACTGTGAACACTATTACTGATTGGCTAAAAATTCCCGTTCCTGACACTCGGGTATGATTGGTCAAAACAATAGTGCATCTATAAGAGTACAAAATCGGTAGTGCCGCCCTCTTATCCAAAGTTGCCCGGTCACAAATAAAACAAGGTGACATTGATATCATTGTAAGTCAAGGTGTATTTAGATCAGTTTTATTGTGTAATAGTTTAACAGAGCAGACCGTGTCAGGTTATCTTTACACAGTATTTACCAGTAGAGATAATGACTATAGATAATAATTAGATACTTCTAACAAAATACATTTATCAAAATCAAATTTTGAATAAAACAGAAATTACCATGATCTTTATAACAGTAACGATCGTCTAAGTTGATATTATAGTAAGTTTAAAAAGACTTGAAACGCTATTCCATCCCTTAAAATCCAACCAAAAATGTCTCCGGCCCCTATATCTCAACAAGACTTACGATAAAAATATTTCATTTTAAATATACTTCACTTGCAAACGATGATCAAAAGATCATATGAAA